GTGCCCTGCAGGCTTCAGGTCAGGACTTACTGACAGGACCTGCAGTCTTCAGCTGATGGGCCGGAGAGGGAGAAGCACCCAGACACAAAGGAACCCATTGGCCCTGGGTATCTGTAAGTCTCTAATTATCCTCTCTAATTTTGGAGCCATGTGACTGGATTCCACACAGCACCACTGAACCCGCTAGCTAACCTGAGTGCTCTGCAGCTGGACCACAAAGGGAGGGGATGCTACTCTTTGCTCCTTCATTAAACTATTGTGTTACATTCACAGGGTGAGCTATTTCCGCATTGGCATGCGGCTCTCTGGTCAACATCAGTGTTCAGAGCACCTGAGAGAATTAACTATTCCTGCCAAATTGATTCCAGGATCTTAAGAGGTGTTTTCAGCTTATAATGAGTGATCTATTTGATACTGCAAAGGTACATAACCCTTTAAAAGACAGAGTCAGCACACATACTCTCTACAAACGTCCTTTCCAACCCTATTCTAGAATATTACAGATTTGAAGTATTTTCTTCTTTGACTTAAGTGGAGCTCAGTCCCTCTCTGGCCACAAAGCCTGGCTAAATCCAGGCCTGGGAGGTGTTCCTGAGAGGGAACTAAGGTGTGTTGAAGTGCCACAGGTCGTCGTGGCACTTCCCCAACCACTCCACCTTTCTTACAGGAAGCAACACAATTGAGAACAGTGTCATCCTGTGTTCAAAAGAAATCACTGCCAGATACCGCCACTGAAATAATCTTTAATGATGTAAAAGCATATACTGATATAGAAAAGTATTTAAAAATATACCTAGGCAATGTCAAGCAAAAATATTTTTGTTTTGAGATCAAAAATAAATGGTCTCTGGAGCCTGACTGCCTGGGTTCAAATCCTGGGTGTGGCACTTACCATTTGTGTGACTTTGAGCAAGTTACTCAACTGCTCTGAGCCTCAGTTTCCTTATCTGGAAAATCAGAACATTAATGTTCCTTTCTCTTAGCTTATTATGCGAATTAAGCACCATGTCTTTACTAAAGAAAGAAAACCTATGGAATACATACGATGCATAGGACATAAGATGGTGTTTAGAGACAACCTAAAGTGATCTTATAATACTAACACTTTATACATCAAAAGCAGTACCTCAATAGGAATGGGCTTAATTTTCTTGGTTCAAGTCCAGCTAGAATCAAAGCAGCATTATCAGCGCAGATTAGTCTTATCATTCCCTTTCCTTTGTGCTTTCCTCAGAGTTCACTTTATCCAACACAGTCAGACCCCCCAGTCCACTGCCAAGGAAACAGGAGAGACCAGTGAGTAGAGGTGGAATGCTAAGCACGTGCACTTCTTTTATTTATCACTTTTGCTGTGTTGCTTTATCACAACATTTATTAATAAATGAATTTTTTTCTCCTTGAAGCCTAACACTTTGGCCTTGAGTGCCTAACAGAAGGGAGTCAATCGGGGTGACAGTTGTGCAGTCAGCGTCCTAGTCTGGACTTCTTTAACAGACTCAGTACCTCAGTAACTACTCCTTACCTCTGCAGAGGGATAAACTTTAATGCAGAAGAAATTTTTAAAAGCCTGATAACTGATTACATTAAAAAATTTATGGAGACAGGTTTATTAACAATTTGGGAATTTTTTCTCTTTTTTTTAACATCTATCTTGCTTTACAATGGTGTGTTAGTTACTGCTTTATATAACAAAGTGAATCAGCTATACGTATACATATATCCCCATATCTCTTCCCTCTTGCATCTCCCTCCAGCCCTCCCTATCCCACCCCTCTAGGTGGTCACAAAGCACAGAGCTGATCTCCCTGTGCTATGCAGCTGCTCCCCACTAGCTATCTGTTTTACATTTGGTAGTGTATATATGTCCATGCCACTCACACTTCTTCCCAGCTTACCCTTCCCCCTCCCCGTGTCCTCAAGCCCATTCTCTACGTCTGCGTCTTTATTCCTCTCCTGCCCCTAGGTTCTTCAGAACGATTTTTTTTTTTTTTTTTTTTTTTAGATAACAATTTGGAAATTTTTTTCTAAAATTGAACACATACACCACCACCACCACCAACCACCAGCTCTACAATTACAAACTCAGACTTACAGCTCCATGAATATATGGCATGAGACAAATTAGATCAAAAGAAAGAATACAGATATGAAACCAGGCAGCCTAGAACAGTCAATGTACCTGGTCTAGGAGTCACACAATTTGAATTCTGGTGCAAGATCTGTCACCAGGTAATTCTATCCCACCCAACTGGGACTCAGATTCTTTACTGTAAAACAGGGTTATCTAAGACGCCCTGACCCCCTTTAAGCTGGAAAATATCATTATTCTTCAACCCACAATTCCTCTGATGCTACAACTTCTCCAAAGTACCAAGAAGGCAGAGAAGGTAGAGAAAAATATGAAAATTATTCCCGATTCCCTAAAGTTTCTTAGAATGATTGAGCCCATCCTAATTTTTAAACATGAATCACCAAACAAAAAACCTCCTCCACCTGTAACTTGCTTATTGTCTTATGCCAAGTCCAAGAACACAAATGGTGTGCCCTTGCCAAGCTGGTCTGTCCACATCACTAGCAGTGCTCAAGGAAGGGTGAATGACCACCGGTCAGGAATCATGTGGACAGTGCCAGAGCCCATCTCTAACATGCTTCTCATTCAGTACTGGAACTCGGTCTCATGGCTGGGCAAGATCTCATGGTTTGACAATGCAGGTAACACAGCTGAAACCTTATCTCAGGTTGGCCTGAAGTATACCACTGTCCACATCTGAGATGCTAAAATACTATAACCTACCCCAATACTCTCTCTTAACTACCCAGCTCTGCCCTACTAATGACTGGCACTCACGCTGGCCCCAATGATGGCTGCTTCCTATTCTGAGTCTGCAAACCACACCTTTGATAAACCTTTCACCTTCCTGTTCTGACTTGCTGATGTTTAATTCTTGTCTTTACTTACTTACCCTCCCTGTGGCTTCTGCAGCAAAGCCTCTCAGCCAAAAACACCTCAGGTCCCCAACAACTTCAACTCACTCCAGAAAGCTGGATTGGAATTTCAATGAAATTATCTGCATTTTACCACAACTTACAGTTACCCGAGATGATGGTGAAAATAAACGACTAAAGTAGCACCATCCACCCAGGGACACCCCCTCTCAAGTATGTCCCCTCAGAGACACCCCTCTCTCTGGCCCCTTCTAGAAACATCCCCTTCTCAGGGATGCCCCCCTTCCCTCAGGGATACCACCTCTTAGAGATCGGGTATAAATGCGGGTTTATCAGCCAGTTCTGATTCACACATTTGCTCCAGCTTCTACTTGGTACCAGGTACTGTGCTAGGTGCTTTAATCTATATTAACTCTTTAAATCTCATGGCCACACAGCATACTAAGTATCATTAACCCTACTATGCAAATAAACAAAGGGGGTTTCAGAAAGAATAAGTGGCTTGTCCAAGAAATCCAGACCAAGGTCTTCTGCTTCTGCGAGTTGTGTGACCCAAGAAGACAACAAACATCCATGGTCTACTTCACATGGAAATGCATAGCTGCAACGTTACCATGTGCCAGTCTTGAATGTGCTCATCCAATGAACTATAAACCTATAAACTGCTTATAGGAAACACTTAACATAGAACAGACTGATCATAAAAACAGGCTCATTAGAAATCTGTAATATGGGGACTTCCCTGGTGGCGCAGTGGTTAAGAATCTGCCTGCCAATGCAGGGGACATGGGTTCGAGCCCTGGTCTGGGAAGATCACACATGCTGCGGAGCAACTAAGCCCGTGCGCCACAACTACTGAGCCCGCGGCTCTAGAGCCTGCGAGCCACAACTACTGAGCCCACATGCCACAACTACTGAGCCCACGCGCCTAGAGCCCATGCTCTGCAACAGGGGAGGCCACCTCAATGAGAAGAACGTGCACCACAATGAAGAGTAGCCCCTGTTCGCTGCAACTAGAGAAAACCCGCGCGCAGCAACGAAGACCCAACGCAGCCAAAAATAAATAAATAAATTTATATATTAAAAAAAAAAAGAAATCTGTAATATGTATACTGACTTTAAAAAAAAAAAAAACACTGACATTTTTTCATACAACTTTAAAATAGTTTATCCCCACTTAACCTCCCCTGCACCTCCCCAAACATGTGAATTGACACATTTTTATTCAGGAAAAACACATTAAAACTAAATTCATAAAATGATTAAGAAGTTTAGCATTCTCTTCCCACTTATGGAGATGCTGAAGGACAGGTAAATGACCCTAGAACGATGAATGACAAGAGATGAAATGCTGGATAACCCATAAAGAGACAGGGAATCACTAAATGACAGGTACAGCACATAAAACCTACATAATTTGTGATTTTGTGGTCTAGGGAGAGTTAAATCCTAAAGTAGAGACAGAAAATAAGTATTTATGGCGTTGACCAAGGGATCAGCTCTACCAAGCACCCATAAAATTAGATCCTCCCCCACCATCTCAGGAACATGAAGACTTCCCAGCAGAATGGGACCTCACAAAGCAAATGGCCAAAAGAGATTATAGTGACCATCTAATCCAACACCCTCTACTTACAATCAAGCAATCTCTGGCCTAATCAAACAACCTGCCCCAAGTAATCAACCAATGCCAGTGGCAGAATGAAAGCCAAGATCTCCCAGTGTTCTTTTCCCAGCACCAGGCCACTGCTACCAAAGCTGCATCATGGGAGCTAATACATACTCATCACCCACAAGTATTTGTTCAGGATCCAATTTACATATGGTAATACAAGAAATACTGCCAAATGGAATGTCCACAGGTTGCCAATTTGGCAAACCACTAAATTGTACTCTACCTGCCCCCAAAACCCAAATTACTTTTCACTGACATCATTCACTTATATCCACAGAAACCAGCCAAATGCTTTTCAAATATGTTCCACACTCAGATTTCCCAAAGAAAAACTGCTACAAAAACCACCAGCACAAAATTAAGAGAATGGGACCAGTACCTTCCCCAGAAAGCAATCTCTGGGGTGCCTTTCGCGTAGGTGGAGTTACTGGAGCCACTCAGCCCATTGGTGATACCACCAGAATAGCCCATCACTATTCCACCATCTGCAGAGATGCTCAGGATGTCCTGCTGTCCTCCCATTGATGTCCTCTCCAGGAACTGACCGCCTTCTTTGATGCGCTGTTGTATCATTGGAGTGAGGGGCACTTCAAAGCTAAAATAGCTATCAGGCTCTGAATATAAAGTCTCCAAGGACTCAGCACTGTAGTATAAAGAAGTGTTGTCCAAAATGGTTTCAAACTGGGAGCTGTACACATCAGTGGAGTCCTCTGCACAACCAGACCCAAGGATATCATCATCTCTGGCCCGAAAGTGCTCCTCTTGCTCAAGAATCCTGGAAAGCACATAAAACGGACGAATTTCAATATTAGGTTATTTTTTCCCCTCCAACCATATAAAAAAGGGAACATTCTATAGAGCTAACACTTGTATTCAGTGGGCTTATGTCAATACATTTGGGAAGGAAGATTTCATAGAAACATATTCAGGCTGAAAAAACTCTTTAGCATACATATGCTATGCTACCCTCTACATAATTTAATATAGTTTTGAACTAGTTCCTAATATGTGAATCAGGTCCAACGAATATTTGAATAAAATGTTAAACTACTGAATTTTCATCTAGCCAACTAAACTCCACAAATCCAAATTAACAGCTACTATCATTCTTAATTTTAACAGAAAGAGGTCATTTACAGGTAAATGACCTGTTAGAAGATAAATATATTGTGTAAACTTAATGGACTAAAAATACACTAAACTTTCATCAGTCTGCTAATATTTTCTGATTTAAATAAGACCAAACGCCCTCAAGAAGATAAATATTCTATAATCCAACGGCTGTCCCCTGGTGACAATAAGACAGCACTGCAGAGAGAGTTCAGGTCCAGAAACAGCCAGCCAGTAAACGACCTTTTAAAAAAAAAAAAAAAAGAGCCAACAAACGTGTTTACTACAGGGCTAACCAAAACAGTGACAACCTAGAAAAAATGTACAAGTTAATATACCTGGAGCATTAATTAAGTAATATGCAGCATGTTCTTCAAATATTAAAAATGAACATTAGGATAACTAAATAAAATTTTAAAACTCAGTAAGAGAAAGAAGACAAGAGACAGAAAAACATGGAGCTGAATCTGGATGTGCCAATTACTAGCTGAGCCTCAGGAACAAAACAGAAATAGGAATAAAACTACCTGGTAGGTAACCCACATTTCTAGGTATTACCAGGATTCACATTCAACAGTACAGTTGTCTCTGCTGTTTTGAGATTACTGAAGGCCTACCCCACACCAAGTACTATTCTGGGCTCTACCTCTAAATGGCTCCTCAGGGTACTTGCAGTGAAACAGGAAGCTCAGGATGAGGCCCCTCCCTACCTCTGCTCACCTACTTCCCACCCTCCCCCAGCCCCCAGGCTCCAGCCACACGGGGAGGAGAGCGGGCAGAGGGTCACACCTTAAAAGGCACCTGGAGGCTTCTGCTTCGCAGCGTCCAAGAAGCATGCTCCATTAGCGACAAGCAGTCCTCCTTTGCCCAGGTGGTTCCCTCTGCCTGGAATATCCTCCTCCCCATTCTCTGCTGGGCAAACACGTATTCATTCCTGAAGTCTCAGCGTAACTATCACTTCCACAGAAAGGCCTTCCCCAAGCCATCAACTGAATCAGCCTCTCTCCTGCATTCAGACTATTCTTTCTAGGGACCTCCCCGGTGGTCCAGTGGTTGGGACTTCGCCTTCCAATGCCGGGGTGAGGGTCTGAACCCTGGCTGGGCAGCTGGGATCCCACGTGCCTCACCTCGGGGCCAAGGGGCCAAAAGGTGAAGCAGAAGCAATACTGTAACAAATTCAATAAAGACATTAAAAATGGTCCACATCAAAAAAAACTTAAAAAAAACCAAAACTATTCTTTCTAGTATGTCTCCCTTCTCCTTTACGGAACCCAGCACAATTAGAGGTCCCAGCATTATTAATGTATTGATCTTCAGAAGTAAACTCCATGAGGTCAGTGACCTCAGGCCATGTCTATTTTCCACTGTTTTTTTTTTTTGCCCTTGCCGCACAGCTTGCATGATCTTAGTTTCCCAACCAAGAATGGAACCCATGCCCCCTGCAGTGGAAGCACAGAGTCCTAACCACTGGACCGCCAGGGAATTCCCAGGGCCATGTCTATTTTGAACATTCCTTTATGCCCAGCATCTCTAGCCGTATCAAGGACAGAGCAGACAACTGAAAACCATTTGTGGAAGGACAGGAAGGGAAGGAGGGCGGGAGGAAAGGAGGAATGAATTAATAATCTGCACAAGCACACAAGTGCATACCCCAGTGGGAATATAATTACCGAGCCATGTGCCACATATCAGGGCTCCTTTTGAGGGGAGTCTGGAGATTTTCTGTGTAGGGGGGATGGGGACGGGAGGGAGAGGAGTCCTGACAGCCATCCTAAAGGAGCATCTCTCCGTGGATCTGTTAGTTAACTGTGGAGAAAACGGCATCTCCTTACACCAAACAAACAAACAAAACCCTTCAGGCTTGACATAGATGTTTTCCCATGTGACCACAGGTGGAGGACTGACAAGACGGCACACATTTGAAATGACTTTGCCAAGAGGAACACTCTACAGTCAGACTACAAGCAAAGGAAGTGAAGACAGACGGGTATGGCTTCCATTTTTCCAGTCTCTCAGCTGGTATGGATGCCAGAAATGTAGGGAGAGACCAGGAAATACCATAGGATGCCAAGTTTACTCATCAGGGCTGTAATCAAAACATGCTGCTTGTGAGAAGGGAGAACCATGTGAGTGCCATGGAAGAACTGAATTCTGACCTCCTGATCTCCTCTTTCAATCTAGAAAACTGAGCCAGCCTCTGTGTTCCTACATGTATAAGGCTGTATGCAGGCAACGGTGCTGCACCCAGAAGAAATGCCTGAGTTAGGATGTAATGACTACAGGATGTGTCAAAAAGAGTTCAAACCTTTCCACATTGTTAAAGATAATCGTGGGGTATTTAGTTACCTTGATGTTGGAGAAGTTGCAACCTGTCAAATACAATAAAACATCAGAAATGGATTCGCCTAGTTTAGAGTTCACAGTCTCCCCATATGGACAACTTTATAACAAGACCACTTTAACATCTCAGAACCTTAGAAGCAACATAGCTTACAGTCACTTCTCTCCCATTCTGTGGTAAACAAGGACCCAGGATATTGTGAATCGAGTTCTCACTGGCATCACAGACAGCAGGATACTATGCGAGCTCACCTTTCCCTGTCTCTCTCCAATTCAGCTTTCGTCTCAAGATGTTCCTTGTTTTCCCTTAGGAAGACTTCATCCTCTCCACTCTCAAGAAGAGGCTCAGGCAGAAATGGCCCTGAGCCAGTGGCCAGCCTCTCTGAAGGAGCTCTCCAGGTGTCATCCCAAACACTCTCAATTAAACCAGCTGAATCACACAAACCAGCAGATGAGACGAGATCGCTTGGCACTTTAGAAAACTCTTTGCTTTCAGGAGGGGTTGTCCTTTCCAATGATGTCTGAAAATCCACAGGTTGCCATGTCTCTCTTTTCTCCCCTCCTGTCCACAATATTTCCACCCCTTGAAATTCCACATGTTTGACCTGGCCTGAGCGTCCTGAGGAGCTGCCTCGACCACATTGCTCTGGGTGCTCTCTCCCCTGATCAGATCTCCTCTCTCTCAATAAACCAGCACTTCCCACTGAGCTGTGGGTCACGGGGCTCCCCACGGAGGATGCTGGACAAGCTGGCTCCTGCACATGGACAGCCCCCTTTCTCCCATTATTAGCTCTTAGGGAAAGCTCTGCTTGAGTTTCTCCAGTTAATAGTGCAGTCAGGTCCTCCTGGATGCTCAAATAAAAACTTTCCTCAGCCGTAACTTCAGCTGAAAGAGGTATATCGGGTGACTTTTCTCGGCCAGCAGGGAACAGTGTGTTGGCTCTCTGTGTTTTATGACTGGCAGGGTCTGGCTCTTGTTCCACCTGCTGA